CTCTATGAAATATCTTTCCTGATTATCGAATCACTAAACCATTAAACTTTTATATTACTAGCTATTAATTTAAAAACTGATGCTTTTATAAAAAATAATTTTCATGAAATAATATATATATAAACTATATAGATTATTACACTTGTCTTTATTTACAGTTCTTAAACTTATGCATGTGAATGGGTGTTCATTATCACGTAACTAAAACGTTACGCTTTTTTTTAGCATTTGAGGGAAAGAAGGAAGAATATCACAGCGTCTTAGCACTTTAATTAAACTTTCAGCTTACGCCTAACAATCAGATCAAAAACAGGAAAGGTCGAACTTGTAGTGTAAACAAACAAAAGAATAATTACTTATTGTTATGCAATTATAAGATCCAAGTTTTACTTTATGTATTTATATATTATTTACTCTGTCATGTAATATCTAATATGTTCTTCAGATTAATCATTAGAAAGGGTTGGTAATGTCATCTTTAAAAGATAAGTTGGGTTTATCACATTAATAATTTCACCTTATTAGTTCTTTTCTTTCGTCCAGTGAGAACCAAGTGTTCGAAATCAGAAAGTAATGACATTGTATGTGTGAAAAGTTTATTCACATTTACTTCTGATCTTATTTTCTAGAGTACTGCACGTGTTAGATTGGTAGTAAGATATTTGATGATCTCACTTTCCTGAGTTGTGGTCTCAGCCTCTTGATGAACATGTAATATTTTCTTACACACAGAAACTGCCATCATCATTGGCTTTAGTTGAAACCTTAATATACTTTCAAATCTAAATCATACGGGTGCGCCACCCTTCATATTTCTACAGTTGAAACGACTTCAAAGTTCCAACAAACCAAATAGCGGTAACTGAATTCTGAGCTACAAAAGTTCGATAAAATGAAACATAATAGTTGCAGTGTTTGAAACGCAGGAGTTTAATTGGCTAAACATCTGCTTTCATGGTGAAAAGAATCACGGTTTTCAGTTTCCAAATGATTTTTATTTCAATTTATTAAAACAAAATCCTTTAGCTTTGAAATTAGTTGGCTAATTTGATGGTTAAATTGAAAAATAATAACGTATATGTTTTTGTTGTTTCAAGTGTGGACTTTATATAGAACAAAGAGTAAATACAATAGAATGTGTCTCCCAATCTTTTTGTAGGTATACTTACACACCTCTCTCACACACAGCAATAAGCATCTCATGTTCTGCAACTTGTTCTTGCAAGACAAAGCTAATTCTGTGTTTACCTTATTTTAGTAGGTTAGAATCTTCTTCGGAAACGTAAGGCATAGCCCCCAGTGTCACAGCAGTATTTCTGCGGACTCACAACGCTAGAAATCGGGTTTCGATACTCGTGGTGGGCAGAGCACAGATAGCCCATTGTGTAGCTTTGTGCTTAATTTCAAACAAACAAACATAAGGCATAATTTTAAGAAGTCTTGCTAATATATGTTTTATATATATATAAAACAATTTACTTGAAAATGTCAAATTTTCAACGATACTTTTCAAAATTACAAATTACTGTTCGAATGTCATGGAGAAAACACACCACAGAACTGAATAAGTAGATATCAAACCTGCAGTCTAGGTCTTTTGAAGCTATTCAATTGTACTGGGATAAACATTTACAAATAACACTGAAATATCGAGCCAGAAATATTCAATAAAACTGTTTCTGTTGAAATGGCCATATATATATATATATATATATCATTTGAAGCTATTCAATTGTACTGGGATAAACATTTACAAATAACACTGAAATATCGAGCCAGAAATCTTCAATAAAACTGTTTCTGTTGAAATGGCCATATATATATATATATATCATAAATTCATTTTCGTACTGTGTAGTAAAACATTTCAGTTTTTCACAAAAATAGCAATGCTTAAATTTTGTGCCAGTTTTGGTGTTGTGTTACTTTAAGCTAACATTTTACCATAAGACACTACAATTGAGTATAGATTTAGTAATTCAAGCTGCTGAAGATAATGGGGCATTTCCTAAACTTGTGATTCTAAAGCTCCTCTTCACTGCAATCATCCAGTCACGTTTTTTATTAACAGTGTTTTAGATTATTTAAATGAAGGAGTAGTTATGGGTTCAATATTGTCACATTTCCTGCTCTATATCAAATATACTCTTCTTGGTGTGCTGATGATATTTCCGAATATTTTTTGAAGAATCTTTAAGAATTCTGAGCTCATATTTTACGTTTTATTATCTCAACATTAAACACGGTGATATTATATTAGAAGATATGCAGAACCCTCAACTTTGTTAATAATTTAGTTCACAGGAACAATTGTTCATTTGAATGTGTAGTTTTATACAGCATAGTTACAAGCTTTTATATGTGGTTAAGAATTTTAATGTTACAGTAAAGTCTTCAAAGCATGAGGAATCATGTAATCTTCAAGTTTGATGTAGAAACATGTTTGTTGATTTACATCATAAAACAAGTTTTTTATATGTGGTAAGAAAAAGTTATAAACAATAAATGTACAAAGAATTTTCCTTTACTGAATATAATAAATAGATTATCTTTTCAGTTATATGTTAAATTAAAAATAAACAAATTATTGTAATTTCTTTATTCTTTGCTGATTTTTAAAACCATCATTTATAAAGCTTCTACTCCTCTCACGACTCAAATCGTATTTTAACATTTGCTTAATTACTATCAAATCAATAAAGCTCATGCTCTGTTACGTTCCGTGAAAACGAAGCAGATGTTATGATTTCTCAAGTCATCGAAACAGTTAAGTGTTTTTTTTTCTTTCACGGTAAAAATCATTGAATAAAATGTCAAATAGTTATTTTTTACTACATTAAAGGTGTCCTGATGTAACGATTTTTATGAAATGAATAAAGACAATATAAAATCAGACTAAATACACGTATATTAATTCATTTACGTGGCTTCTAGATATACAAATTAGCATAGTTTTATGTAATCGTAAATAAAAACCAATGAAAAAGTTAATCTTATTAAAGTTTCAAACATTGTTTAGAAGTTTCATTGCAAATCTACTCTTGAAAGCTACCTCACACCATACCATTGTTAATCTGGAAGTATGAAAGCTACCTCACACCATATCATTGTTAATCTGGAAGTATGAAAGCTACCTCACACCATACCATTGTTAATCTGGAAGTATGAAAGCTACCTCACACCATACCATTGTTAATCTGGAAGTATGAAAGCTACCTCACACCATACCATTGTTAATCTGGAAGTGTACGTAATTTCTACGCGCTATGTTGATCTCTATCATTTCTTTCGTCAGAGATAATAGTTGCACCCCTAACAACAGTTTGAATTAAAACTTCAATATCACAAATGTAATGTAGTAACCACGTTCTTTTCTCTCTTTCTTAGTGTCTTGATAATATGCGATGTTGAAGGGTTAGCTTATAAGCTAGCTCATAATTCGACACTGAACACTACCCTTGACTTTTTCAGTGAATAGTTAAATGAATCAGCTTTTTATATTCGTGTTAGTTTTACAAGCATCCATTCCTGCATAGAAACTATAAGTAGAAATTAAGCCCAACTTTGTTTCATTTGTCATTCTTGTGAATAGAGTTAAATGTAGCCGTGGCTTTAAGTAAATTACTATATATCCAGAAAGGACACTTCGAGCTGCTAACACAAATTTTCATCATACAACTGCAGCTAGGAGAGAAAAGGGGTCAAAATGTGACCAATTTTCTAGACATTAGGATGCTCTCTTTTCCTCCCTATATAGCCTACAATTTTGAGTTTGTAGGATCAAATGTTCGGACCTTAACTCTATCCTCCAAAATAACGTTTAGGGCCTGACATTAAATTCAAATTATAGGAACTTCTTGATTGATCACGTTGAGAATTATCATATAATAGCTTATCCGTGCGGGGTATCACCTGAATAAGCCTTAACAATAACACTTACTACTCAGAGATAGTCGATATCATGTTGCTAAGGCAGCCCCAGACCATAATAGTACACAAGAAGAAATGTTAAACTGGAATTTATAAAAAAAAAAAAATTAACTAACTGTGCAACCTAGAGAACTGCAAACGTAATAAACTCTAAAGTTAACTTTACTGGTTATTTTCCTAAATTGTCCCGATAAATTGCAGTCACAAATAAACATTGTTTTTACAAAATGACAATATAAGATAAAGATGCATGTCCACTCTCTAAATGTCAAGTTCAAATTTTCATTCTTTACAATAACCTAATATCAAAGTTGTTTTTCTAATCAGACTTCTGAACTACCCTTCTAATTTCAGAGTATTTTAATTCCTTAGCTCAACAGTTTTCCAAGTAGATCAAACTATTTCACACCTTCTGAGAGGATTGGTTATATCCATCCGAACAACAAATCTCTGCTTACTGTTTACATTTCTGTTTATTCGTGTGTAGTATCTAATATTGTTTTTATGGTCAGAATGTCATTAGGCGTAACTTAGCAGTCCACTATTCCTCTAAAATTATAAATTAATGGTTGACATCATTATTTTGTCTTTAATCTCCTCCATTCATTCTTTTCGTGTAGTTTACATTGCTTCATATATTCATCTGACTATTTACGTAAGAAAAAAATCAGGATTTTCATTCCCTTTATATTCTGAACGGTTCTGGTTCTTCTACCTCAAACACTGTCACAATTTTTCTTTCTACATTGACCTCATGAATATGTGCTCTATAAGTAAAAATCCACTGCAGATCAATGAATCTTATTACATTATCTAGAAATAATTATTAGCCACCACCTATAACCTCTTTACAAAAAAAAAAAGTGTTAATAATTAACAAAACAAAACTTCCAACTATTCTTTTTGTATTTTCAGATAATAAAAGTAATTTCTTTTTATGATAAAACTTAGTGCATTTACAATCTATTCTGCTAATGTGTGTTTTTACTTTAACAGTTAAAACTCTTAACTCGATACACAATACAAGAAATGTTCTCGCCCGTGTAAAAACAAGATAATTTTTATCACAGATTGGCGCATGGACAGCTGGAGTTTTGGAAATAAAAGACATTGTTTGGCCCGGAGACTCTCCTGTTCCTCCTAAGGGTGTCCCAGAAAAATTCAACTTAAAGATCACTTTCATGGAAGAGCCACCATATGTGAATCTTGTCCCACCAGACAATGAGACAGGAGAATGCAAAACCGATCGAGCTGTCCCCTGCCGTGTGGCTCCCGAATCAGAGCTTGCTGGGTAATTAGTTTCTTCCATTACTTCTCATATTATAACACTTGTACTTTAGAAAATATCCTTAAACAACTGATTAAAACTATATAGTTTTATGAAAGTAGTTTACAATACCATTTTTAAATGACTATCTTAATTTTATTAGACTACAACACTAAAGATAGAGTTATTAATATTTTTATTTTCCTCATCGTACGTTGGCCTAAGTTTGAGGATAATCTGACTAATAAATCTTACCTACTTAACATAGGATCTCTCACTCAACCAGAAGTGCTCGGTGTAGGGATCGGACGTAAAACTTCCAGGATTTATCAGATTCTGGTGAAACTTATAATGGATGTAACATACAATGAGTTATGACGATTTCAATTTACCGTTTCTAAATCGGGCAAAAATTGACTAAATTATTATTGACTACATTATTAGCAAAAACCCTTTAGTTAATGACAGTAATTCTTGTTGTGTAATCGACGAGTCCTTTACGCAAACTTCCTTCTTCTTTTTCGCCCGTCGTTGCATCTATTTTTCAGACCCGAGCACAAAAGATCTTCAGCAGATAGCTCCATGCCCCGCTGACCGTAACTGGACATTTACTACTCTTCAGCATGTAATCACCAATCACCATTATTCCTTCGATTGTCTGAATTTGTAAGAGTTCTAGTTATTCAATGTGTAGCCTGTGCAGCCATTGTGGATGCAAATATGTTGGATTTTTTTAAAGGAGAATCCATCTATCAAACCAAAAGATGCTGTGGTAGTACTCAAAAATAGGTTTGATGCTGACAAGGACAGTAGTAGTAGCCTTCCGTCAGATCGGAAAATCAAAAGTATCCAATCTCAAACAGACAACGAAGAAAGGTCGCGTATTTTGATTTAAGAATCGAAAAATAATTAATCAATTCGTGTGTGTGTGTGACCATTGTTGATAAGGTGGTGCGACCCCTCCAAAACCCTGTGTCTTTTTGACTGCTCATAACTCCTGCCCAATGAAGAACAACAGTACTGACTTTAGAAGTTATGGCTTTGTGTATAGAGAGGATTATACAAATTATTTCCAATTTAAAGCAGAATAGCTCTTCCATCTATAACGTTTATGACTGGGCTTGTACTCAAGTATAGTACAATAAATTTCCTTTCTTCTGTAGCCTAACACCAACATTTCCGTTTTAGTTTTAATAACCCCACCATAACTTCATTATATATGTAAAATTGAAAACCTTTAAGCGTTTCTAGCGCATAGTCCTTGAAATTATGTTCAGAAACTTTATAAATGCAGGAAAATTGCTTTGACCAGATATTACCAGTAATTGTAATACGCTTGTTATACGATTAAAATAACTAGTTTTTATTGCATGTCAATAAATAAAGTTTAAATTACAATTTTAAATATCCTCTTAAATTTTCTGATTTATTGTGATTCCGTGTATAAAAAAAGAATAATATTTCTATTGTTGCAGTGGGAACTGCCCCTCGGTGGCATGGCGGTGAATCTGTTGACTTATAATGCTAAAAACCGAGTTTTGATATCCGTGGTGGGCACAGCACAGATAGATCATTGTATAGCATTATTATTAAATATTATTATTTCTCAAATATTTTACTTTACTTATTTACTCCCATAATGTATACTTCACTGACCAATTACTTCTCTGCTTATAAAAATATATTACTCTAATGATCAGGGGCCATCTTTTATTTTACATGATTAGTCACTGATCTGTACTTCTTCTTTGTATTACACAAGTTCTACTGTAATCTATCTA